TTATACCTCTGGTTCTTGTTGCGTCATAGACAACGGGTCAAGGTTTTTACCTTTGGTTCTTGTTGCGACATAAACAACGGGTCAAGGTCTTATTATAAACCTGATTTAGCTTTCCTGAGTTTAAAAATCCCTTGTCGTGCTGTGGGTCTCATTGTTCTCTTTGGGGTTCTCATCAGAAACACGTAAGGGAGTGTTGTGAGGTCCTTTTATTCTTTTGTTTCTAACATTCGTTGTAGGTTTCAATCATGTCAAGCGATGATGACAAATCAACCATTAGAAGACACCATGTGGATGAACCTCTCATGCTCAAAGCAATGCAACAACAATTTCAAAGGTTGGATATCATGTTTGGTGAGATTAGAGACAAATGGAGAAGCAAGATGCAGCTATAGCCAATTTATACCAAATACTGAATGGAAGTTCAAATTTGCGTAGGAATGACATTAATGATGATCTCAATGACAATTATGAAGATGCATTCATTAATGATGCCCAGAACTCAAATTTTAGCATGGATAGATTTATGAGAGGTAGAGGGGATCAAAAAGGTAGGTTTAATCGAGGAGAACAAAATCTAACGAGGTGGGGAGATTGGCAAGATCGTGACTTAGTAGCATCAAGATGAAGATTCTCCGTTTCAAGGCAAAAATGATCCAGATGTGTATTTGGAGTGGGAAAAGAAGGTGGAATTGGTGTTCGATTGCCATAACTATTCTAAGGAGAAAAAGGTGAAACTAGCAACTGTGGAATTTATTGATTATGCTGTGGTGTGGTGGGATCAGCTTGGGCTTAGTCCACGAAGAAATCGAGAGCATCCTGTTGACACTTGGGAAGAGATGAAAGCTATGATGAGAAAATGATTTGTTCCTAGTCACTACTACTGTGATCTCTATTAGCGATTACAGGGCCTTACTTAAGGGTCCAAAAGCGTTGAGGATTATCACAAAGAGATGGAAATCGCAATGGTTAAAGCAAATGTAGAAGAGGACAGAGAAGCAACTATGGCACGGTTTTTGCATGGCTTAAGTCGCGATATAGCTAATGTGGTTGAGCTGCAGCATTATGTGGAATTAGAAGATATGGTGCATATGGTGATGAAAGTAGAACGGCAACTCAAGCATAGAGGAGCCACCACTAGTATTGGGCAAAATGCAAGTTCCTCATCTTCTTGGAAATTGAATTGGAGTAAAAAGGAAGAAAATTCTACTTTTAAGCCTAAAACTGCAGCATCTAAGTCAAAAGAAGTTTGCAGCAATGAGAAGAGTAAAACAGATAATATGTAAGGCAGAAACCGAGACATCAAGTGTTTTTGATACTTGGGAAGGGGGCATGTTGCATCACAATGTCTTAATAAGCACACGATGATCTTGAAAGAAGATGGAGAAATTGAAACCATAGGTGAATCTGATGATGAATCTATGCCACCATTAGAAGATGCTAATGATGGTATGGAATATGCCATTGATGGAGAATTGCTCGTCACCAGGCGAGTTTTGAATGTGCAAGCCAAAGAAGATGATGAAGTACACGTGACAATATATTTCACACGAGGTGCCATGTCAAAAACAAGGTATGTAGTGTGATTATTGATGGTGGTAGTTGTACTAATGTAGCTAGCACTGTTTTAGTTGAAAAGCTTAATTTACCTATGACGAAGCATCCAAGGCCATATAAGCTGCAATGGTTAAACAAGTTCTAGTTTCATTCTCTATTGGACGATATAAGGATGAGGTACTTTGTGACGTGGAGATATCAAGGTACTTTGTGAATAAGCAAGTTCTAGTTTCATTCTCTATTGGACGATATAAGGATGAGGTACTTTGTGA